TACTGAGGTAAGAGTTCCCTCATCTTTTAATTGCTACTGTTTTCCTCACCAATATTCCAAAAATGTTCGTAGCTCAACATTCTGCCTTGAAAAAGCCACAAGGATCTAGGGTACAGCAGAGTTGGCCCCAGTGAGGAGCCTGTGCTTGTTTGCTACCCGGAATTCTGGTGCTTGGCATTGGCTGTTTTACTTTCTCTTCCAGACCAGTGTCCTTGTAGTAATTTGAAAAAACTTTAAAATATCTCTGAAATCCAAATCACACAAACAGAATTTTATATTCTCACTCTATGAAGACTGTTTAGAAGACTTCAGATTCTATTAATTTTATTAATTTTAAAAAAGTCCATTAGCCATGTGCAGAATTTCTAATGATGACATTCATTGTGCAGTTTCTGATTCACTTTACACATTATTTTTTCAGACTGCAAATTATCAGTGTTAGATTTAGTTACAATTACTTGTCTTACAAAAATGTCCATTTCAAAAGAGAAGAGTTAAGAGACACTGAGAAATTTAGATTCAAAATGAGGATTGAAATGCCAAATTGTGGTAATCATTATGAGTCAAACAATTGAAACTACCACACTTTATCCCTTTTCCTTTGCTCAGAAAGTTGAGCGTGTAGAATTTGATGACACCCTCCTGGGGCTTCTCGACCGGCATAGTGTCATCACGTAAGGGTGTTTGGGGGTGCTGGGGCACATTTTCAGTAGCCACAGTGATCAGAGAAGCATTTAGTGCCCACAGCCAAGACCTAACATCTTGCATGGCAAGGACATTCTCACCTTGTGAAGAATTCCATCCTAAGTACCACTAACCTTGTCTCTTCCCCTCTGAGAGACGTTACATCTGCAAGTTCTGGAGTTCCACCTCTGTTTTTTTCCCCAAACAAAATTACCCATCCAAAACGAAACCAAAATACATTTGCAGAACTACAGCTGCACAATCTGAGTTTTGTAAGTGTATGCCTTTATCTCAAGTCACCAGTTGTGGAAAAATAGCTTCTTCTCCCTTAAGAGTGCCGCTGACTGCTTTGTGAAGTAGCCAAATTCACTTTGTAGGGGGGTGTCACTCTCCAGTCATCTCCGATGATTCCACAATGCATGAAAAGAGAAAACCACACTGAGGTAGCTACAGTTCTACAGAGCAGTCAGGTTAATTTAAAAGCCCCCTCTGCTAACAGTTGTCTTATTAAAGTAAAACCACATTTTAACACTTTATGTAAAGAGCCAATGAGACGAGGGTGGAGGCACATAGCACACAAGTTTTGATGCTTTGGAAATATTGCGGCCTGGATCTTTAGCCAGTGAGTCTTTTAAACATGCAGTGGCTTTGTTAGACTTTAATGCCAGCTCAGGGTATCTAAACTTGATCCCCACCAAAATAAAACAATTTGGGGGTTTGGGTGAGGGTTTAAGAGAGCTCCAAAATGACTTCTCTTAGTAAGGTGTTATATGTATATAACTTAATTTTTCATTAGAGTGGTAAGAGTTTTATGAAAGACAGCTTTAAAACTTGGTCTGAGTTAAATATTAATATCCTTTTTAAAAAATTTCATTACACTGTATTTGTTGCAGCTTTGTGTAAAACTAGTATCTCACCATACCGCATATATGATAGAGCATAAATTTTCTATAATCAGGCACCTTTTGATGCATTTGAGTAAAACTGTTTTTAAGATTTTGAACATCGCCAGACAGACTCCGCTCTGTTCTAACTCTAGCACAGCCTAATAGCATTAGATGCAGCATTTCTATGACAGACGAGTGTTTGTCGGGAAACTGGGCAGTGGCCATGTTTTCTGAGACCCTGAGTTTATACGCACTCCTTTGCTTTGGGGGAGCTTTCTGGCATGTGATTATTTACTTCAGAACTAGAATTTCAGGCACCTACCTTAATTCTTTTATATTGTGTGCAGAACAGTGTATCTTTTTAATATCAGATATAATACACTGCACATATTGCTTTTGCACTTTTAAAGTTTTGTGTTAAATAATAGAAAATATTTGTATTCTTTGGGTGTGAGCTTTGAATAGATGGCCTTATCACTTTATTTTTTTTTAAACAAAAACCTCTCAGTTATTCTATTGCAATGTTATTCTGAGCAAGTCCTATGCCAAGTATCATGTATAATGTTTGTATGGAAGATTGAATTTTACTCTTGTGTGGTAAGACTACTCAGCTACTAACTTCATGTTGGAATTTGATATTCCAGCACAGAGTCCACAATGTATTCAGAAATCCAAGTTGGTGTCATACATTTCATTTTGATGTGAACTTTTCTTTGCTTTCTTTTGTTCTAAGACTCCATTTTGCAATAAACGTTTTGACAGTAAATCCCTTTGTTATGTGTTGCTGTGTATATAAAATCTTTGTTAGACTGAACCTGCAACATCCTCTGAAGGAATCCTTGTCACACACATACACATGAGTGTTACCTTTTCTTTCCTGAAGTCAGTTGGAGTGTAAATAACGAATTTGTAAAGTGATGGGGCAGTCATGAGAGATTTTTTTTTTATCCCCAAAGAAAGACAGAAAGGCTTAGAACTCATCCTACAACAGATACAGTGATATGTTAACAAGGCACAGAAACATAAAAGAAATGGTAAGCCACTGTGTGGCTGGAGATCATTAACTCTTTTCCCTGTCTTGCCAAATCCAAACCGTCTTCCGCGGTGCCTGGCTCCAGCCTTCTTCTCACTGATCTTTATAAGCACCACGCAGAGAATTCTGCAGGAGTGAATATCAGATTGAGTCCAGTGTCTTTCTCTGAGTGTCATGTCCATGACCCATCTGCAGAGTGCAAGAACTCTTCTCTTCTTTTGACATGAAAGCCAAGGATGTTGGTTTCATTTGCAGCCTTTATTCTATTCGAGAAATACTTGTTTCTGAATTTTGTTTAGCACAACATTTGGAAATCATATAAAAATCAAAACACCATACACACCCCATTTCCTGTAAAAGCCAGCCTTGATGCAGGGAAATATTTCTGTAATGCAGTCTGGTGTTTCTTGAACTAATCAAAAAGTTCCTCGTTTCATATTTTTGCCTGTGATGGGAGAAGGGAGTGACACGTTTCTGCAGCTGTATCCATCTGCCCTATGAGGAAATAAAACTTGTCATGTATTTTCTCTCATCCAGTTCAGCTTTAGCTTCAATTCCTCAAGCCTTTTCTCCTTGCCACATTGTTAAAGCAGGTGCGTGGCTGGACGATTCCTATATACCTCAGGTGTTTCAGAGGAGGAGGGGGCGATCCTGAAAGGCACATGGGATAGCAGAGCATTCATAGAATGGTAATGATTTAAGCATATGCTTTATATCCCTGCAACTTGACTATATTACTCAAACTCTACACATCTATATTAACTAGCAGAATATTTAAAAAACTAGAGACTCCATCCCCAAGTCTGCTGCATTTTCCCTTCTTCCTCCAACGTGAGCTCACTGCATCCTGTCCTCCAATTAGGTTAACATGCCACATCCACCCTCTTCCTCACCTTCCTTCTCCCACCATTGCCAGTGTTTTGCCTTGTTGCTTCCCTTTGCCTGGAATCACCTCTCTCCTCCTAGCCCTGTAGTACCCAGCTCAAGCCCCTATGCCTTCCACATCTCCGTGCCCTGTTAAGGAACACTTTGTTGTTTTTTTTTGTTTTTGTTTTTGTTTTTCTCTGGTACCGGGAACCGAACTCACGACCTTGCGCTTGCCAGGCAGGTGCTGTGCCGCTGAGCTAAATCCCCAGCCCCTAAGGAACACTTTGTGAACACATCGGGCTTCGTATACCCGTACCCACTGAACTCTTTGCTAGAGAAGTTGGCATTTTCATACATGTATCCTTTGACTTTTTCATTCTATAAAATGATTCAACAAAAACATACCGGGTAGCTTATGCGAGACACTGAATAAACCATGAGGAAGGCTGTCTTGGACTTCCACATGTATAATCCACACCCGTTTCACCCTCAGTTTTACTAAAATCTCCTTGAAGGGGCTGTACCTTTCCTAGTAGAATTTTGAGCATGTGAGTACAAAATAAATACTTACAGATTGTACAGATTAACTCAGCCACCCTCTGATCATTACATTAATAGTAAAAGCAACCGAATTCACCTTCTTTTTCAAGTCACTCACCAAAAACCATCACTGGTAACAGAGATTGGGTGATAACTTTTAACATGTTATAAGTGACCAGGACATTTTAGCAATTTAAAAGGCTAGTCAAAGCGAATGACTCTACCAGACTAATTTCAGCCATGGAACACACAGTCTTTTTCCAGTATTGTAAGCGTGTATCATTTAGCCTGTGGCCATGAGTGTCCGCTGAAGTGAGAAGCTCTTTGGCTGTGAAGATGGTGCGGGCTGAGTGCTCCACACAGGCTGCATTCCTGCTAGTGCACCTGGCAGGGAGGTGATTTAGGCTGCATTAGGGTGGCTACACCTGGGTTTCTTAAGACAGTTCCAGTTCCATGTGTCGTCCTTCCTCCATGGGTCCCCAAGCTTGGTTTTGCGAATAAAATGGAATTGAGAGATTTAGACACTTAGAAATCCCCCTGTGGAAAGAGGTATAACAAATCATCTGGTTACCAAATGGTTGGTTTGGAATTTTCACTGATAAACGAACCTCATATTATGGGCTGAGAATTCTGAAGAAAGCTCTGGCACCCGGTTAATGTCAGAAATTCCCTGACTGCCACAGCCCTATTACGGGATGTAAGACCATTCCTGGTGTGCCGAGGACCAAGAGAAGAATATACCAAGTTGTGCAAAGTCCAGCCTGGAACAGCTCACAAAGTACAATAGCTGTGCGTTATTGGCTTCTGGAGTCAAAATCCTTGGAGCACTGAGAACATCCTAGAGTCAGGGAAATTCTTTCCCATTCTTCAGACCTGCAGGAGGAAGCAAGCCAGAGCAGCACTTGAGAGCTGAGGGACCCCAGAGGATAAGCCAAAAAGATAAGGATAATAGTACTCTTTTTTTCATTTCATTCATATTTCCCACGCAGCTGCTGCCTTCCTTTGAGATTAGTGCATGGACTGAAGACGATGTGGTAAGCTGCTTCTGTTGATGCCTCCTTGGGCCTGGGCAGGTATTTCAGACATTTGTCTACAAGTTTAAAGTGCCTGTAGAAGGATTTGGGTCTAACTAGCAGAAGGTGGCAAATTCCATTATTTTCTGGTGTCAGTAATGATTGCAAGCTCAACAGCAATGCAGGTATCTCCTCCAGGCTTGTAAGAGGATCCCACCTTCCTATGGACTGTAGAAATACTCCAAAATACAGTAAAAAAAAAAAAAAAACAACAAACCAGCAATAACAAAACCAAATGACCCAGGAAACCAAATGAACAAACTTGAAAAATAAATTGATCTTAAACTTCCCTAAAAACCCAGGCAGGGACTGAGCCATGGTGAAGAAAAATCTGGTCTGGGGCTGCCCGGCACGCTGTGGCCTTCCACTTAGGCCTGCTCACAGCATGACAGCATCATCACAGCATGACAGCTGTCCTTAAGCCTCTCGCAGGAGGAGTGGACACACTGCTCCCAGACATCCTCTCCCTCCGTAGCCAGAGGAGTTCCATTTGGCTAGGAAGATGTGGGCAGATACTGGAGTTCAAAAAAAGTCTTACACTCCATCCTCTACCTTGAAGAACAGTGTTCCCCCTTAGCCTGTTACATTTCCATGACTGTTTTCTAAGTGATAAAACAGGCATGAGAATTCCTGGTCAGAGACCACAGGGACTTATGCCTGTCCAGATCCAATTTAGAAACTCAAGGGTATAATTAAATAAAGAAAAAAACAAGAAGGAACACTAGCTTAGCAGGGACGGGTCCCACCCCAGGGAACAGACTCACTACTAGAAACTCTTCAGAAGGTTGGTTTATTTAACTCAACTGGGTCTGTGAGCCAGGGCATTCCCCTCTCTGCCCTTTGTACTCTTGTGGTGGAAAACCTCTTTGGCTTCTGCAGTGTGAGAAACCCGGCACCAGTTGCCTGTTTCTTCCCATTCACTGATCCCCAGTAATCCCAACCTTCCTGCCAGCCCTGCCTACCATGGAAAGAGGACTTAAGCTCCCCTTTATTCCCAGGCCTGCACACAATCCCTTTATCCCCTGCCAAAAAGTTGACTCCTTTGAAAAGAAATTGTTTTAAAATCACTGAGTTCTAATAGTTACTTTTAGTTTTTGTTCTGAGGTGGAGTGGCTTCCAGGGTATTTCAATAAAACCCCAGGGTCAAGGGCTCCCCAGAGAGAGGGGCTGAATCTGGCTTCCTGTCTATGTGGTGTCACCCAGCATGGAGGCCACTATGAGAAGGCACCAAACGAAATCCAAGACTAAGGGTCACTGGGTCCAACTACACAGGAAGCCCCATGCTTAGACTTGTCCAGCCCATGTGGCTGTGTCGTGACCAGACAGGCCTGGAACAGGGAACTCATTCTCTGTCCACTGCTTTGTAGTCCCTGTTACATAGTTCCTGAAACCGCTGCCCCTGGGTGATCCAGGGACCACTGGCACTTGGGGAAAATCACTGTAAGGACCCTCTTGAAAAGATTTTAAACTATCCCCCAGAGAAACCCTTCAACTGTCCATGGCCTCCAAAGGAAGAAATAGCTGCAGTTTGAAAGCTTAAGTTTAAAACTATAAACAGAAAACCTTTCACCTTCCCTTTGTGGCTGAGCTAGGAATTACAGACATGTGACATACTGAAAACTGTTTTACTTTTAAGAATGTCCACTACATGTCAGTCCTCCAAACCATGTATGTGCTCTCTTCACAGTATTTTTGGGTTCAGCAGCTCGTCAGAAAAGGCAAGTGGCATAAGTTACGTTCTTACCCATGGAGTTAACTTTGTTGGGGGTGTGGCGGAGTCTCACTTCCTTCTGCCTTCTCCTTATCCCCCCAGGTGACTCCTCGGTGGAGATGAGCAGCTATGCAAGCCTATTTAAGGAGAACAACATCACGGGCAAGCGGCTGCTGCTTCTGGATGAAGAAGACTTGAAAGACATGGGCATTGTCTCCAAAGGACATATCATTCATTTTAAGGTAGGGTATCCTTCAGTGTACTGTGTCTTTGCTGAGTACCTGCGGTGTGGTTTGCTCCACAAGCAGTCCCTTCCCCAGTAAGGTAGATGGAGGGATGTACACAGGAAAAATAATTTTAAACAAAAAACAAAAACCAGCTTCCTATCCAAAGCCAAACCTTCACAAAGGCTGTAGCAATGTGTCACCTAATTTCCTTACCTCAGTTAAAGCCACTTACCCTGGTTTTTCTAGAGAAATCCCATTAAAGTGCAAGGAGAACCCATTCACCTCATTCCATAGCCCCCAGAGCCCAGTGAGAAACTTCTTGACAGTCCCTCAGTGTCCTTTGGATAATGGCTTGGCACTGAATCACCAGAGACCATCTCCAAGACAGAAGGCAGGACCTTTTCCTTCCTACAAGATGAGCGATCACACTTGTGTAAACAGACACCCCAAACACTGGCAAAGAGTTTAATCTCAACCTCTGTGTTGGCACATCCGTCCTGGAGAGCTATATTGGTATAAATGGGCTACAGTGGGAAAAGTTATTTTCTTCAGTATAAAGAAACTTCTGAGTTCCAGAAGGGAAACTTTGTCAGTCTTACCCTTTTTGACACAGATGCCAAATAAGATGCTGTCAACTTCTCTTCCTTCTACTCTCTTTGAAAAAGGACGAGCATGCCTTAAGCAGCAGTTAGGGCAGGAGGGAGGCCAGCTGTGATACCTCACCAAACCATAAGTGATTATTTGAAATACTCCTTGACTTGGCTGGGGTAAGCAGCATGCTCCTCCAGATTCCAAACTTACTATTTATTGCTCAGTAAATTCATGAGTACATACTAATTGCAAGACTGGGCTGTGACGCTTCAAAGGACCATCCTTCCCTTAAGGAATTTATATCCCAGAGAAGACACAGCACTCATGCCTACAATTTCCCACAGGTAGTTGGAAGAAAAGGGCAATTCAGAATCCACTTGGGAGATGGAAAGGGGAAACCTCGTGGACTGGAGAACTGGATCTTGAAGAAAGGACAGAGTTTGGAAAGGAAGGAATAAGCAGTTAAGAGAAACGGAGGAGAGTGGAGAGGAACAGAGCGTTACTGTGTCATTAGGAGGCTCTGATGGAAGCAGGGGCAAGGAGCAGATTTCACCACAGCTAGAGCGGCAGGAAAACAGGGTCCTGTCCCAGCTGCTTCCACCTGCAGGCCGGAAGTCTGGAATTTGACCAGAGCTGGACAGCACTAAGAATTGGTGTGTTTAAACGTTGCACCTAGAATTTTTAAAGTGAATTAGAGAGAAGAGACTGGATTTTGAAAGACCAGTTAGGAAGTTATAAGAGTATTAAGGCCCGGCTCACATTGCAAGAATTCGACAGGGAGCAGGGGAGGAGGCCGCAGGTGAGAGAGGAGGCCAAGAGGAAGTTTGCAGGTGGCAAGGCAGGTGCAGTGACAGGGACACATGCTGCCCCGGGGGTGAACCTTGAAACACGAGGTTTGCTGAAAGGAAGCCAGACAAGCCAAGCACATTTGCCTTCCGTTTATATGAAATGCCCAGAGTAGGTGAAGCCACACAGTGACAGAAGGGAATGGGGGAGTGGCTGCGGAATGCATACAGAGTCCCCTTTGGGGGTGCCGGAAATATTTGGGGGCATGTTTTAGTGGGAATAGTTACATGACACTGTTGAAAGTCCTAAGTGCCGCTGGGGTGCAGTGTTAAAGTAGTTACTTTTGTGTTACGTGAATTTCACCCCATTTAGAAATAATAGTAATAAAAAGGATGGCACCCCTGATCAAGACCAGTCCTCTTCCGCTGGGACGCTGCCGTCTGTGATGGGCAGTGTACCTTCAGAAAGGTCAGAGGAGCCCGGGCAGCAGAGAGAAGAGGAAGAGGGGAGTACGCGTCCAGGGGTGAGAGAAGAGGAGAGAGCAGCAGTACGGAGGCCAGGGGAGAAAGCTGTAAGACAGAGACAGGGATTCAAAAGGTGCCATGCTGCAGAAAAGCCAGGAAATGTGCGCTGAGAAAATGCCAGGTAGGAAACAACATTTGGGCCGCCTGACCAAACCCATGACCCAGGGGGTCTGGCCTGAGTTCCAGAGGAAGGGGATGACCAGCATTGCTAGGGGGCAAAGGCTGCCACAAGCTCCTTGTGAGTCTGCTTGTCACGTAGTACACAGAGGGGTCCCTATCGGCCTGCCACCTCGCCGCCACAGCCAGGCTGCTGGTTAAACTCAGGGGAGCATGGGTATTTCTGCCAAACTCCTGCAGGAGGGAGAGATGCAGGGGAAAGATCACGGAGGCCTGCTCTAGAAAGCCCTGTGTGTGTTCTCGGGCAATTAGGGTGCATAATGCTTCCAGCTGGGCCTTGGAGGTGGGGCCCCATGTGCACTGCCAGTCAAGAGGAGCCCTCCCGGTACTTGTCAGGAGTGTCCCCTGCACACGCACACGCGCATGCGCGTTCTTCATCCTCTGCTGCTTCATTGTGCACCTTCTCAAAGAGCCTCAACCTAACGGTAGATGATAGAACTGGAAAATGGAGCAGTGGAGCGGCAGATCCGCCATCCTTTGCTACACGGTTGTTCCTCCCCGTAAGCCTGGCTGCGGCTCCCTCTCCCCGGGGCCTACAAGCCCTTGTGTGGAGGAGCCAGGTGGAAGGAGAAAGACTGAACACCCAGTAAGTGGTCATCGCATTGTCAGTGTCAACAGTTTCATCTGGCTTCAGGCAAAAAAAAGATGCATCTAATTTTCCAAGATTGACCCTTTTTGTTCTCTCCATGATAGTTCTTAATATCTGATGAGTACCAAAAATCTCACACTTTAAATTGTCCTCCTCTCCTGTAAGATGGCTTGTGTTTCACTGGGAGAGTGCTGGACAACACCACAGGGAAGCCCCTCCCGCACACCAACCCCTTCAGCGAGACTCAGCCTTCCTGAAAGTCTCCGGCATTCTTTCCCTGCCGTTGGTGTGCTTTCCCGCTTAGAGTGACACCTGCCTTCCATACACTGGGTTCTAGAACACTAGTGGCTACAACATTAACCTATCCCTCTGCCGGTGTTTGAAGAGTGTATTGTTTAGTCTAAGGTTAAATATCTTCCTGGTCCTTTAAATAATTACAAACTACCTATACCACTTTGGACACTCAGGTATATGTTCAATGAGTAGTGGATATTAACATCCCCAATATATCGTATGAACCATGTAAATGAAGAATACTTTTATACGTACCCAGTAACTTTAGTCTTCTCTTGCTAGTACTGAGTCATTAATAATGTGATGATTTTTTTACAGTCAGCCATTGAGAAACTAACCCATGATTACCTAAACTTGTTCCACTTCCCGCCGCTAATTAAGGTAACGTTTCTTCCCTTTCTGAAAGTATGCTTCTTTTATTGACATGTGCACCTGCCACATCCACACCTAAATTTGCCAATGTCAGAAACTTGTTTGAAGTGGAATTTAATCATATCTAGCCAATAAAAGTCCCTTTGAAGACTAGGATGTGTCCAAGTTGAACGGACTTGTTTCCCACATGTTAAAATATAACAGTGCATTCATGATAAGAAGAATGCATCTCGCACCAGTGGCTAGGAGGTGTAAATGGCAACAGTGTAGGTGAGGCCCTCAGGCCTTCCACCTGGCTCTAGACATCTTCCTCTGATGTGTCTCTGAAGGAATTTGCACACTTGAGCTCTGGGTTATCACCTGCATTGGGAAGTGGGAGGTCTGTGGTTTGAATGACATAATTTATTCAGTAGTCTCCCCTTATCTGTGGGGGATACATTCCAGCACCCCCGTGGGTGCTGAAACTGAGGTTAGTGCCAAACCCTACAAATGATCTTTTCCCTATATACACATATCTATAACAAAGCTTAATTTGTAAGCTAGGCACAGTTAAGAGATTAACAACAATAACCAATAGTAAAATAGAACAGTTATAATAAAAGTTATTTAAAAGTTATGAATTGTTTATCTCTGGAATTTTCCATTTTATATTTACAGATCACAACTGACTGGCAAGTAATTGAAACCATGGAAAGCAAAGTCATCCATAAGAAGGGACTATTGTATTTAACATACTATTCTAAATATAATCTCAAAGTATATGGCATAAAATCAGCATATACTTGCAATTAATACATAGGCCACTAGGGGCTGGGGAATGTAGCTTAGTGGTAGAGCACTTGTCTAGCATCTGTGAGGTCAAGTTTGCTATCCAGCACTAACCAAACAAAATACCCGCCTACTCATACAGTAGTAAGCGTGGTTTTCTATCTGCGAGCCCTTTCCAGCCACGTGTGCTCTGGGAGTTGCAGAATTCTCTTTGGGAATAGCTTATTGCTATCTCAGATGTCTTAAAACTCTCAAATTGAAATATCATAGTGCATCTCCAGGTACGAAGTGCTTTTCTAGGATAAACCTGAGTGATGTAAGATGCATTGTGGAAAACATGACAGTGACATTCAGCCTGAAGTGTATGAGTTAAATCATTTGGCAAGGTTCTCAAAGCCTTAATTTATCATTTTTCTTGCTTTAAGAAATTATAACTTGTAGCTTTATCCAAAATAACCAACAGCAAATGTGGATTTTAAAAGAAACCACCCGATTTACACAAAGACTCAAAGTAAAAACACTATCTACAATAAATAGTGCATGGTTTTCTGTTCCAGGACTCAGGAGGTGAACCTGAAGAAAATGAGGAAAAAATTGTGAACCTTGAACTTGTTTTTGGTTTTCACTTGAAACCAGGAACTGGCCCACAGGTAAATCACATTTCAGATACTTCGGGTGATTTTCCGTGTAATTTACTCTTTTGTTCTCCTGGGACTCCATGGTTTTGTACACTACCCTCAACCACCCAGTTAAGTGATTCTGAGTACACTTACCGACTTTGTGAAACAGAATTTAGGTGACAGGCTGCCTGCTGCCCCTGTAACCCAGTGTGGGAATCTCATTTGCTTGGTCAGTGAAGAGGCCACCCAGGCTCTCGAGGTAACTCACAGGGAGGGGAGCGGCAGACACCAGCTTCCTGCTTCCTGTTTCTTAAGGGCCTCAATCTTAGGATACCGAGAATAAAATGGCACTGCGAATGGAACTCCAGGTGATACCGAGGCCCAACTTACCAGCTCTGAGCAGGGTGGCGGGACATATCACCAGTTATTCACTCACACTTTCACTTTTCGTCATTTTTAGAGTCTAGGAAAAGCTATTTGCCTGGGTACCATGTGAGCTGGAATTTTAATAGGCTTGTGTTAGTCTAGGCTACCATAAATAGATCATAATAATGATAACTTCTTATTGACTACTTGTTCTGTACCAGACATGCAGTACTGAAATGTAAATGCTAATTTCCAAGTGCGGAAACTAAGGCTCTGAGAAGGTAATTGACTCTCTGGCCCCAGAACCTAAGCCCTTAACTACTGCGTTCCTTGTGCCTTTCCTCTGAGGAGCCATGGGATCTCACAGATACAACCATCACTGGTTGCTGCTGGGCCTGAGGCAGACTTAGCTGACCCACTGGCCACTGGTGAAGAAAAGGATGCTTTGGCCCAGGCCATTCCTGGGAACCAGTGCTTACAAAAGCTGGGAAGTTGTTGTGAAAGTTGAGTTTCACCTGGGGTTTAAAAGATGCCCTTTCCAGACACCTGACAGGGAGGGCCGGGCCTGCATCGCCGCAGGTGTGTTGATGCTTCTGTTGAACGCAGTGCTTGGTTGAAAGAAAGCAGCTCTGAATCCAGACTTCCTGTGTGTGCACACTTCCCTCTTCCCTCTGTGGATAGATCGCTGTCTGTCATTGCGGTTGTTAGAAGCAGACACAGAAAGGGGACTGCGGAGTAAGTTCCTCTCTCTTCAGCATCATCAAAGGGCCTTCTAATGCTGGGACTGTGTAGCTCTGGGCACCCCAAATCCATCCAGTGATAGGCAGATTGCATGGTTCCCTTTGCCTTCTTTAGTATCTTCAACTTCTTAAGTTATGAATTCTCTTTATTTAAACCTTTTTATGGCCTATAAATGATGAAGAGAGAGAAGAATTTCTTTGAGGCTTATGGAGAGGTTTCAAACAGAAAAATATTTTCAGTTATTGAAGAAAATGACATTAATATGGAAAGCTGAAAAATATATATTTTAGTAAGAAACAAAAGCTATCAGTGATATTTGAGACAAAATACAGTGGTGTGTATTTACCATAACCACGTAGATTTTGTGGATCATCCGCAAGCCCAAAGCTGCCACAACTTTTGACATTCTGCTGTCTCATCCAGAGTGATAATTTCATCCATTCATTCACTGCTGTGTGCCTGGCTGTATGCTACATGCTCAGGATTCAGAGTTAAAAAGTACAGACCTGGCTCGGAAAGAGCCCAGAGCTTATTGGGAGAGATACACAAGATCCGTGAATGGTTACAGTGCAAAGTGATGAGTTTTTACACCATGCACATCGTTCTGGGGCACACGCTGGATGTACCTCTGCAGATGGGAAGGTCTTGAAACGTTTCTGTTAGAAGTGATGCTTAAGCTCAAATTTGAAATTCAATAGAGTAAATTGGGTAGGGAGAGGATGGTGAAGGCAAAAGAAACAGTGTGTGCAAGTGCTCACTCTCAGGGAGCCATGTAAACCCCGGAGCTCCTCCTGAGCTGATCTGTATGGGACCGCACAACTCAAGCATCCTCCCTCTGGAAAAACTTTGTAGCGTGTTGATCACTAAGACTGCAGAGGGAGGCTGGTGACCAGAATCAGAATTATGTATTAAACTAAGGAGTTTGAAGGGTTTTGAGGAGAGAATAGATGGGATTAGATTTTTTTTAGTCTGTCAGAAGCACAGACGAGGGAAGATGCATTGGGAAGGAGCCATGCTAGTGTGAGAAAGACGAGCAGATCAGAAATGATAAGAAACTGAGGCTACAGCAATGCTGCAAAGTGCTGTGCATCCTGAGACACACCGATCAGACCTCATCAGGAGCCAGGATGGTGCTGAAGGTTTTTAGTATGGGCAAAGTGTTTTGTCCTCCCCAACCCATGACTAGGTCAAGCCTTGCAGGAGAAAGCTGGAGCTTTGGAAGTCCTCCCCAAATCTAAGTTTGCAGATCAACGACACTTGATTTCACCTTTTGCTTCTCAAGTAAAACGAGAGGTGTGTTCTAATTAGAGCTGCTGGGAATAGCATATGACAAAGACTTGCTACATTTTCCCTTTGCCTTCCATAAAGACCTCCAGCTAATATCCTTTAAAATTGGTATGCTTACCCAGGGATAGTGACACACACCTGTGATCCCAGGACTCTGGGGCACTAAGGCAGGAAGATCACAAGTTTGAGGCTAGCCTGGGCAACTTAGCAAGACCCTGTCTGTAAAAAAGGGCTGGGGATGTAGCTCAGTGTGAATGCCAACACCTTGGACTCAATTCCCAGTACTGCTCCCCCGCCAAAAAAAAAACCAAAAAAGGTAGGTCATTTCAGTAACTTTAAAACTACCAAAAGTAAATAATAACAATATGACTTTATACACAAATATAGAGAAGAAAGCTCCTTTGTTGTAAGATCTAGCCAACCCTTTGTTCTCAGAATTTGAATTAAATTTATTTTTTGTACCAGAAATTGAATTCAAGTCCTTGTACTTGCCAGGCAGGCACTGTGCTGCTGAGCTATATCCCTGGCCCTTGAATTAAATTCTTAACTTCATTCTACAAGATGGTTTGTGGCACAAAATGAGGCTGATTTGCAGAACCTTGGAAGCCATCTGCATTTGAGAGCCTGTGCCTTCTACAGGGGTCACTGCAGTGACACCTTGCCCAGGAGCTTAGTCTGGATAGCTGCACCCCTGCAGAAAGCCAGGACCTGACCATATTCCAAATGATACAGGTTACAACCATTCTCCCAGAATGCCCTTTTCATTTCCCTTTTAAAAGCAACCTGGGGGCTGGAGATTTAGCTCAGTGGCACAGCGCCTGCCTGGCAAGCGCGAGGTCTTGAGTTCGATTCCTGGTACCGGAAAAACAAAAAACGAAAAACAAACAAACAAACAAAAAATAAATAAAAGCAACCTGGCAGGGCAAAAAAAAAAAAAAAAAAAGATTAAACCACAAACTTGAGCATCAAATCAGTTAATAAATGATGGGCTAGGGGTATAGTGAGGTAGTAGAGCACTTGACTAGCATGTCTGAGGCCCTGAGTTCCAGCCCCAAGACCACCAAGAAAAGTTTAATTAATTAATTAATTAGTAAGTGACAGTGAGTTTTACCCACTTATTTGATTGATCCATTTCTACACAGTAAAGTGAGTTAATCATTTAAATAATATTGTATGCCGAGGCAGGCTGCAAGTTATGACAAAGTAGCAGAAGTTGGGTCTTTCTCCACCCCATGTTTACCATGTGTGGGGCAGAAAATGCCTGAGATAATTATTATTTCCTCATCTTCTGGCCAAAGACACTGCAGAAAGCAGTTTGCAAACTTTTTTTCATGCCGTTGTTATAATTCAACGTAATGAGGAGTATCATACCTCAGTTAACCTCCTCATGAGGAAATCGGGGCAGTGAGGTGAAGCTCTTGCCGAGAGTCCACAGGCTTACCCACCTCTTTCTGGAAAGTACCCCCATCCCCCAAAGTATGTGCATGGGTAATCAATTTATTTGGGGAAGTTAATACTACTTTACTGCAATTTGTTTTGTATGGAAACTGCCTTGTGCTTGTATTCTAAAGCCTTTGACTTTGCACAAAAGAGAAGAGCTTCTGAAATCTCAAGCACCTTCACACACTCCCCAGGGTGGCAACCACCCTTTTTTATTGAAATATTCAGCTGCATAGAGTTTATTATTATATCTCTTATCAGCTCACCAGTCAGGAATATTGATTCTCAAATTGCCAAGGGATAAACTATCAAATCACCCAGCAGTTTTCTCACCAAGATCTTTTTGAGACTTCGTGTCATAAAAATTCAAAAGCAGAGCCAGGAAGGAACCACTGTATTTGAGAGTCGCCCATTGTTCATGAGTGATGAACAGCTAGACTTTGTCTCCTGAATCCTTATTCCTCTCCCTTCTGATGCAACAAAAGAAGCCTGATTGAAGCCAAGGGCCTGCAGGTCTGAAGTGATTGCCCGCCCTAGGTAGGAGACCTGGGTGAGAGGAGGAGCAAGGGGAACAACACCCCAGGTCTCCCAACACCCTGATCACTGGACCTTTTAATGGGAATCCACTTCCTGTCTTAGACTACCCCTTCCAAATGGATCTCACTTCATTTCCCTTCAAGAAGTGTTTTGAGAGCTCAAGAGAACCAAGAAGAGAAAATGAGAGGAACATTTTGAAGAAGTGCAAACAACTGACAGAGCCCCTCAGAGTCCCCTCTGTGGAATCTCCCTCCTGCCCTTCTCCCTGTCCTGCCTTGTCCTTGTTAGCATCTGGCCCCAACTCCTGCTCGCCCAAGATGGGAAGAAATTCAATCAATGGTTCTGCTTCTTTGGTCTTCTCACATCGTAGGTTAAAAATGCTGCTTTTTACAAATGCTCCTCATTTGTACTGTGCTTTCAGGTCTTTATTAGATTGCTTGTAAAATGTTGCATTTAATAAACTTAATTGAATCTCCAGGCCCTTTCTCAGAGCACTATAAATATCAGAAACTGTCAAATAGGGCTTTCTTTCCTATTGTGTAATTTTTGTAAATGGATAGATAAACATGAGTAAAATAACAGGGCACAAAAGGAAAAGATTTTGTAAGGAAATATAAAGCCAATACCTTTTGTAAATTTCAGAACAGCTAAAAGCAAAG